GGTGTTGTATGGCTGAAGATGTTGTGCTCATTGCAGAGATGAGCTTCTGCTGATGCTCTTCGTCTACAGGGATTTCGACTACGACATGGGCATCTTTCGTTTCTGCCATTTGATCAGAGTTGCTTGAAAGCAAAAAAATTGACGATTAATTGAACAATAATTGGAGAACTAAATTAAAAGATGGATAAAAGAACTCAGAAAAATCTGTGCTTTGAATATCAGCGAATTCACGATTAACAAAAAGGTAACCAGCAATGAGGAGGCAAATATTTTGATGATCGCAGATAGAAGAGTTAGAGAGTTTGCAGATCTGGTGCCGATAAATGTTGGGATATTTAAATGATGCAAAACGCCTGAGTTTAGCAACGGTCATATTTTTCCCAATGCATTGCCGGCACCTGCGCAAGTAACGTTCGGATCTCTATTAAATTTTTCAAGGCACGTAAGTACGGTAATTTGCTCTTTCCTTTTCTTTTCTTTTTTCCTCCCATTTTCTTTTTAAATGCTTCAGACAGCTACTACAGCTACTGAGGGAAAAAAATACATTAAAAGAAACTAATTTGATCATTTTTGTATCTCCATTAAAAAAAAATTATGTCCTTCCATTGGCTGGCAAAATGAAGATAATTATCTTTCTTTTTTTTTTTCCAATTGGAGATTCTAATGGTGCGCTTGATAAAATTGAAATCTGAAATATAAATTATTAAGTAATTGAATTGATATGCACTAAATTCGATATATTTGAGTGTATATGACTTATCTTTTGAGATAAATTTTTTCTAATAAATTCAGTACCACTTAATTAATGAATTAATCTTCTATACATTGACAATGCATACACTTTCACTATTATATGCATTAATCCGAATTTAAATTTGCAACTCAAGTTTTGCATATGTGTCATATATCCAACCGTGATAGTCACCGTCAATGTATATAAGATTTACTTTTAATTAATTTAGATGTTCTATTTTTTTTTTATCATAAAACATGTCTAAACACGTCAGCTAAACTGAGTTTTAAGTAACTATATATATTCAAGATAGATCTTAACTATATATATTCAAGATAGATCTAGTGCGAGACTGCTTGCTGCAGTTCCTGATTTTAATTCTTAAAAATTCACATTTACATTTTTAAGAGATTACCTCAGCACATAATATAATAATTGGTTGGAGCAGAATTTTCAATATTCTTAAATATAGAACGGAAAGCAAGTATATATGTTGGTCTAACAACTTTTTTTTTTAATTTCAGTAATGCCCTATAGTCATTATTCTCTCTCTGTCTCTCTCTCTCTCTCTCTTTATTTTCTTTTTTAATTGAGTAACTACCTATTAATTTAACACAAATTCCTGCTTTTTCAGTTATTATTTTTGTTAAAATAGCATGTAGGCGTGCCTCTCTCAATGGTGCTCATAGATATTAATCTTTCCAATCAAATTGTTTTACTTGGTTAGGACCTAGGAATTAGAAGCAAGATTTTTTTCCCTTTTATTTTGGTAAATAAAAGTTTGGGTGGGTTCACCTCAAATTACTATCACAAGTTAAGACTCACATCCGAAATCATATGTTACTTATAAAAATCATATGTCACTTATAAAAATTCTTACAGATCGCCTGCCAACACAATTCTTATAGAAACAACATATTTTAACATCATCCAACAAAACTATACACTTTTTTTTAATGCTACACCACCTATATCAGGTGGCAACAAAGCTATACGCATGTAATTATAGAACCAAAAACTAGGATGGTTGTCAACAAGCCTTTAGGATGGTTAGTTTCATAAAATAATTTGTTTTTCATTAAGAAAAAATGTAAACGCCTAATAATTTGTTCTTCATAAAATGGTTGTTTTTTGGCACCATTTAGATGGTCCTTAAAATTGGACAAATAAAATTAAAAAAAAAAAGGAAAAAGAAAGCAAAAACTTATTAGTGCCTAACAAATAGAGTCCGCGATTCTACGTGGAATGTGATTCCATGCCTAAGCATTCTGCAAACGGCCCCAAACAACTTAGACGGCCGAAAACTCATCCACGCGTTGACGAAAGTGTCTTCCCTGTCAATTTGACATAACTTGCTCAGCCAGTATCCCAGTTTCAAGTTCTGGAATATATTATTGTTACGACGTGTTGCTTAGTCGAATTAATCAGCAGTTGATTTTTCCTTCCCTGGGCAAGAATGTCATAAATGTTATTGTAAGGCAGTCAAATAAGTTGATAGCACATTTATTCCAAATAATATTTTACACATTTCATCGTAAACACATTTTTCAACTCACCTTTTTATATTTTCAACTATATTTTATCTCACATACATCACATCATAAAGAGTGTTATAGTAATTATTCCAAATAATGTTTCAACTAATAATCTATCCAAACACCCATGTTAAAAAAAAGTCGATATACTAACATCAACACATAATTTAGTAACTTTAACTTGTGTATGAAAACATCTTTAAAAATATTTATATAAACATATTATCTTATAAATCAAAGTAAAAATTTAATGTATTTAGGAGCATTTCAGCATAATAATAAAGTAAATGAGAAGTTTGAGTTTGGGATCATAATAAATAGAGAGACTGTTTGTGATTTCTCCAATGTGGAGATTTTTTTTTCCTCTCATAATGAGACTGAAATTAAAACAGAAAAAACAATACCAAATAAATTAAAATTGTCAATCTAGTGACGCTGATACTATGCATAAGCTTTTAAATAACAAATTCATAATCACATAAGTTTATAATTTTGTAGGAGAGGGGCTAAATTCACACCTCTCTATACTAAATTCGCACCTTATACATGTATTATACACTTGTGCCCTTAGATTTTAAGTTTATTTAATGCTTCTTGTAGTTTCAATAAACATATATTTATATAATAAAAAAGAGAAAAAACAAATGGTTGCATTATAAAATAAAAAAATTTAAAACATTTTGCAAGGGTTTAAGAACATTTACTAATTTAAAAGTTAAATTAACAATTCAAAATTTTCAAATACTATTAAGCATGCAAGTAAAAATGTCCACATATTTCAATTCCATGAAATTAAAATCAAGCAAGTTTCAAGATACAATATGCAATCATATTGACTTTATACTAGTAATACATAGTATTTGGTTATATGTAAGATTTAAAGAAAAATCAATAAAGGAGAACGATAGTAGATCATAAGAGGGAAGAGAAGAAAAAAAATGTTGAATGAGAGAAACAAGAAAAGGAATTTTTATATAAGACTTCAATAAAGATTTTAATACGAATATTTTTTTTGTAGAAAATATATTAATATTCCCTCTCTTCATTATGTAGAAAGCTAATTAAATACTATAAAAAAGTGTTGATTTAATGTATAAAAGCCAAGGACATAAATGTTTAATAAGTGTTTAGAGTGTGAATTTAGTATGTATGAGTATGAATATAACCCCTCCCATTCTATAGTCTTATCTCTAAACTCTTAAACAAGATTAGAGAAAATAATTAATTGCGTACTTTTTCATGTAGGCTCGAGCTACCGTTTTTACTTTACTTCTAATGCAAAATAAGTCATTCTAAATTAATGATGAAGATGAGATGTTGTAGCACTAGAGAAAGTGAAATATTACTCATCTCAAACCAATATAAATGTTTTATAGCTATGCTAAATATATATATTCTGAAGCTATCTTAGAAACTACAATAATTAATGGTAGATTTACCAAACATAAGAGTCTATTTATATTTTGTAAATATTTTTTTTGTGTAAGTGAGAGGTTTCAATCTTACAATAATCCTTTAAAAACTAAAGATATAATAATAGTTCCTTTGATCTTACATATTAATATATTATTATCAGGCCGTTTGGATTGTTATTTTCTAGAGTTTTTATTGAAAAATGTATTATAATGATTTGCTGTATGGTAAAAAAAAAAAGTGATTGAAAAATATGTTCGTGAAAAACGTAAAATTTTGCTAAAGAGAAATTGCAATCCAAACAAGGCCTTAGTTATTAAAATTTACTACTTGTTATTTTTAGGCTTAAAGTACAAGGAAAATTGTTCACAATTTTGTTTACATTTTGTCAAATAAGTTTTTTTGTCATTCACATCTAAAATGTTCTTACAAAATCAAGTTAGCTAAATTTTGATTCCAACCATAATTTTCGATCACTTCTCTGCTCGAGTCCACTATACGATACAAACATGTTTTTTTAGGTGTAAATAGGCCAAATTTTGATTTTTTTAGTGGCAAAAATAAATATGAGTTGAGTTATTTGTTTAACTAGAGGAACAAAAAAGAATGTGGGTTGGGTAATTTATTTAACTGCAAATGGAATCTGACTTTTGTTGCACTCAAAACAGTGTTTGTAGCAGGTTATACGATGGATTCAAGTTAAAAAGTGATTGAAAATCTAAATTAGACTGCACACGATAAATTTGAAGTTTAAAAACTAAAATTTGAAATATGAATTCATTAAGTTAAATACTACTAATATGATACATTTAAATTTGTATCATATTAAGTGATAAGTAAATAGTTTATTATTTATTCTTAAGAGCAAGTTTTATCTAAAAAATTTAGTGCCATTTAATTAATTCAGATAGTGCATTTTTAGTTATCAAATGTGTCTAAACATAAAATATTAAGAATTGAATCCATTAAATTTAAGTGTTGAATTGAATTATTAAATAGAATTAAATGCTAAATTAAATTGTCAAATAGAGTTAAATAGTTATATACTGAATTGGAGGGACTATTGCCGACTTATTATTATTTAGTGGGTTAAATGCAAAAAATCCCTACAAGTTATATACCTAGTTACAATTTACCCCATAAACTATAATAATAAGCATTTTGGCCCATTGAAGTAAAACCTCGACTAAAGGCTTACGCATTCTTAGCCGCATCTATTAGTTTGCTACTGAACCCTCCTCGTCCATCGAGAAAACTAATTAGCACAAGTCAACGAATAGTAATAAAAGCTGGAAATTCACCGCCGGTGCCGGTTTCCAGTAAACTCTGAGGCCCCAAAATTTGTTTTCCCATTATTTCTTGTCAAGAAAGAAAAACCCGACCAAACCGCTCACTATATATACGCATGTTCCGATGAATTCCTTCTGCTAAGCTGAATTTCAGGTATAATATTCGAGAATTTGGAGACTAAAGATTAGTTCTTTTTGCTAATTTCAACTTGTTGTAAGAGGGGGAGACAGTAAGAATGCATTTGTACAATGCTTGGTTGCCGCCGGCGGTGGCGGAGGAGACGAAGAAGGAGAAAGAATCATTCCACAAAGTGTTGAAGGCCGTGAAGGAATCGTATAAAGTGGATGATCCTGAATCTGTTTACGCCACTCTTAAATGGGTCTCCGTTATTGACCTGTGAGTTTTCATTTCTTACTTCTACTACTTTTATCCGTGTAGCTGTAAGAATTCGACATTTTGAAATTGTTACTGAAATTGAGACCCTTTTGCTGCTTATGAAATTGGGTTCTATGATTGCTTTAGTTATAAAAGGTGCTTTGGTATGTCAGAGGTCTCTTCTACATTTATGGGGTCCTTTTTATCTTTTTTTTTTTCTGATTAATTTGTCAAATTTCATATTTTTTTAGTCTTTTCTATGAATATGAAAAGTTAGAATGTAAGTTAGTATGTCCTTGAAGGGTACAATTTGATGTGAGTTAATTACAAGTTGATTTCTAGCATTTATTGGGGCTTCTTTTCATGTCTGGTACTGGTATGGCATGCTTACCGTAAAGGAACCTACAATTTGGAATGAATGGAGTGAAGAAGTGAGAAATGAATTGTTGGCAATGGGATAAGTAGTAAGTGTACTTGGCGCTGAAGTGAAGCTATTTTTTTTCATTTCCTTGTGCAGGTTTATAAAGGCGAAAAGTGAACTTTTAATGGAAGATGTGACAGCTGTTGTGGAAACTGGGTTGGAACTGTTCCAAATATCAGAGAACAAACTTCACGTGCAGGTAGTGCTTTTGACGTAGACTGCATAATCCTTATTCTTTTGCTTGTTGATATATTTCCAGTAACGGTGCTGGTTTGACTTATTTTTACTAGGTTAGATGGGGAAATCTCTTGGTAAAAATATTGAACAAATATCGAAAGAAGTTGTCCTTGAAAGTTCAGTGGCGCCCTCTGTATGATACCCTGATCCATACGCATTTCAAGAGGTCAGTTTCTTTACATATGGACATACACTTTTTATTCCCTTCTGCAGTCCATGCAGTAATGTAATTAATTTGTCATTTGGCAAAATAAGAGACAAAAGATGCATGGCAAGGTGCTAAGTGTTTTGTGCTGATTACTAAACGTGGTTTATCTTGAAATGGATATGAGGTAGAATATGAGTGTAGGAAATTACCAGTGAATAGCTTTACTAGATAAGGTAGTGCTTTAAGGGTTGGGAGACATGCAGTTAGAATAGCTTGTGAATGTTCAATGCAGATGAATAACAAATGAACGTTTGGGTGGAGAAAAGATAAGAAAAAATGATGTAAACAGAGTATGCAATAAACAAGGTAACTTCTGGTATAACCAATAAATTAACTCAGACTCAAGCTGAATAAACTTTGGTTCTGTGTAGTCAATCCAAATTATTGAAAGATTCTTTGAGTCAAGTCGTATGGAATTATGGGACATACATTTACTTAGCTAATTTTCAAATTTTTTGTGCAACCCTGGACCTTCAATTGCTACTGTCATTTTCATGTGATTTTAGTTTGTTAATTACTATAAGCATTTGTTGAACTTCTAAAGCATCACATTGACAAGTAAATCTGGTCATGGCTGCAGGAACACTGGCCCAGAAGGGTGGAGAGTGAGACAACGACATTTTTCGACAGTTACTTCTCTTGTTCGATCCTCTAGGAGATTCTTCCCTCCAGGCTCTGCCTTTGAGATATGGTCTGAATTTAGGTGATATTCTTTGCTCTTTTCTCTTTACACATTACCATCAAGTGTTTAAAATTGTGGATGAAAAAGAGCAAGTGTTTCAGACTTAATTTTATACTTGAAACATCTAGTGTGGAAATCAATAAAATTTTTAACAAACTTGTATGCTGCTGCTATTATGCCATCCCTATTATTGGTTTCAATTGATGCATCTTGTAAATTCTCAGTGCTAAGATCACAAACTTCTTGTTAAGTGGTGTTTTATGTGATGTCCTCTTTCAATTTTGTGTTCTTTTTGCTACTTTTTAGAGCTTGCTTTATGCTTACCTTTCCACAGTATACAGCTCTTGTTTTAATGTGGTTTCATTGTTATGTTCAACCTGTCAATTGATGTTATAAATTTGCTGGTACTGTCAAACATGCTTTTAATCATCTACCTATTGTATGATACCCATTTACAGATCTTTATTGGAAAACCCATGGCATAACTCTTCTTTTGAAGGTTCTGGGTTTGTTCGGCTGTTCCTTCCAACAAACTTGGACAATCAGGACTTCTTTTCACAGTAAGGAAAACTAGTAATTGTTGGAAGACTCTTCTGTAACGGTTATTCTAATTGTATGGTAAACTGAATTTATTTCATCTCTTATTGCAGAGAATGGATGAATTTATGTTTAGACCACTGGGATTCTGTACCAAATAGTCAGTTCTGGAACAGCCAATGGGCATCCGTTACAGCTCGCGTAATAAAGAATTATAAGTTTATTGACTGGGAGAAGTTTTTACCTACTCTTTTCAATAGATACTTGAATATGTTTGAGGTGAGTATACCTTTGCCTGATTTGCTTATTTAGACTAATAGCTCACATGTGGAATCAAAGTAAACCTCATCTGTGGTAATTCATGCTTTGTGAAAGACTTGCTTCTTTTCCTCTCCAAAGGGATCTATCAATTTTTAGTTTAAAGTTAGAGAATAAGTCTTTACCTGCTTGATTTTATCTCCTCATGAATCGTGGATGTCTAATAAAGTTGGCTCAGGATAAATTTTTGTCATTGCTGGACTATTTATGCTTGCTATCTCTGCCTCGAAAGCTACAGGCTTCTTCAAAGTGAATGATAGTGTCAAATCAAATAAGTAAGGGTTCAGCTGTAACTGTGAATGTAAATATAAAGCATGAAACTTATGAAGTCATTGATGTTTTAGCATCAAAATGCTATTTTACCATCCAAGAGATTAATTTTTGGGGATACATGACAAAAAGGAAGTTGAGATAGTCAGATTGGGATATGGTTTTGATATGTGCTTAAGCACTGGTTTTAGTGAGTGAAAGGGATTTTTTGGAGTTTACTTGAGAATTATGTGGAGCTTAATCCACAGAAGAAGGCAGGTTGATTACACTTAAGGTAGACCTTAAAATATGGGATTATCTGATTGAGATAAAGCAGTTATTGATTCCAGCACTATGTGGAAACTGTGGAACTGGTGGAACATTGGGTGGTCAGGGGGCTTCTACGACTTGGCTATGTAATGCATTAATCAAGAAGCAAATCTTGTGTGGAATGATTGATTTATCTCAAAAAAGTCTTATTTGATTTATTTAGGATAGGGTTTTGCACTCCACACCAATCATGGTTTTGTGTTTTCTATTTGTTTTATCTTTCTTGTTTCCATGGATGATGTTTGATGGTCACACTCAAGGGAGATGCACACACTCTACGTGTTTGTGCAATTGTGGAATAAGTAACTTAGAAAAATGAAATAAAAAAAGAATAACTGAATTGAAAGGAAGAGACTTAAAGTTGTAGAAAGATATAGGCATTAGATAGTTACTAGCCTGAGGATATTAATGGAGATTAGAAAAGTTGTTACGCCCAGAGGGTGCTCAATCTTTAACATTGTAATGATGGCTAGTGTAGCTTTAAAATGCTTCACCGCAGAAATGTGGCTCTGGATTTGAGTTTTGTGTCAGCCATTTCTGCAAAAAAGTTGAAAGTCATCGTACTGGTTTAAACTTTTTTCAGTTACCAAAAGTAAATAAATAAATAAATAAATAAATAAATACTTGGTACATCTTATAATCTATGAGCAATAACAGGTTCCTGTAGCTAATGGGAGTGGCTCAAATCCGTTTTCTGTGGATGTTTCAAGAAATACCAGATTCTTGTTTTCAAATAGAACAGTTACTCCATCAAAGGCTATTGCTAAATCAATTGTAAGTTAATATTTTGAAGTATGAGAAGTTAAGAATGTGTTATGTAGTTCCATGAAATATTTACTTATTATCTCACTTCTGATGCAGGTTTATCTATTGAAACCTGATGGTGCAGCACAAAAATACTTTGAGAAATTGGTCAACCTCTTGGAACAGTTTGTTTTCTGAAATTTTGTTGTTTTACATCCAACAAAAATTGATTTTGCTGGATAAGATATTGTCATTTACCCATTTTTTAAATCCAGATATTATCATCCTTCTAATGGCGGTCGTTGGACTTATTCACTGGAGCGCTTTTTGGCTTACTTGGTTCACATATTTCACAAACGTTTGCTACATGAGCAAATGTCAGATAATCTATCCTTGTGAGTTTAGTTTACATTTATCAGTGATATGTGGATTGCTTTCTTAATTGGGAATTGTTGATCTTCAGGAGCAGCAGGGATGATGGCAAGAAAAGTGAACTCTTCCTCCAGCAGCCTGACCGACTTTCTTTTATAAATGCATTGCTGAAGCTGATTGATCGTGGTCAATATAGCAAGAATGAGAATCTATCTGATACAGTTGCTGCAGCAACCTCTGTTTTGTCATACCTGGAACCTTCACTTGTTCTACCATTTTTAGCATCTCGCTTCCACATGGCTTTGGAGACTGTCAGTATACTACAAAAACTACTTTTTAGCTGGATTTGAAATGGAAAAATTATTGTTCTTTCAATTCCCTAAAAAGCTTTCCATCTTGCCAAACTTTTTTAATTCCATCAATTTTGATTTTTGTATCAGATGACAGCTACACACCAGTTGAAGAGTGCTGTGACATCTGTGGCTTATGCAGGGCGATCGCTGTTTCTCACTACCCTGTCATGTTCACCTTTCAAACAAGATGATTTTGGTGGCACCGATTCTTTCAGTGATCTTCTGATGATTGCTTTGTCCAATGCCTTATTTGGTTTAGATGCCAATGATCCACCAAAAACCTTGGCAACCATGCAACTGATTGGTTCTTTGTTCTCCAATGTAAATGTTGATATTTATAATACCTGTGGAAAAATGTATGCATTCTTTAAATGTTACTCAGCTGTCTTTCACTTGCAGATGGCTTTGCTGGAAGATAGTACAAATGAATTATCACCCTTACCAGAATTTCAGTTTTCCGAGTGGCTTGATGAGTTCTTGATTCGTCTTTTTTCTTTGCTTCGGCACTTGGAACCAAGCGGTGTTCTGTAAGTAGGAATTTCGATGTCTCATCCTTCTATCTGTCTGCAGTCTCTAACGAAAATTACCGCTGCTCTTGTTCTTTATACTGGTTTTTACTAGCTGCATTGGTGCAGGAATGAAGGAGTTCATTCATCAACAACTTCAGGAACAATTCTTGTTGAGGATGGTCCTTACTACTTCTGCATGTTAGAAATTGTCCTAGGGAGGCTTTCAAGAGCACTTTATAAACAGGTGCTTGTTGTTCTGTAGTTGAATAATTGTTTCAAATTCTGAATATCTATTTCTTGAAGATATTGTGATTTTAATCATCTTCAACAGGCTTTAAACAAAATTTCCAAGTTTGTTAAATCAAATATTCTTCCTGGGGCAATTGCTGAAGTAGGACTACTATGTTGTGCCTGTGTCAATTCAAATCCAGAAGAGGCAGTTCTTCATATCGTTGAGCCAATTCTACTGTCTGTTATATCTTCCTTGAGAGAGACACCTGTTATGGGTTATGGAGGGAGAAGAACTTCTGTAGCCATTGGACGAAGCAAGGTTTCTTCAACTGTAATTGGATCTTTTATTGGCTTTAAAATTGTCTTGAGTTCTCTTCCTGATAATTAGCAGTGTTTCTTCCAGGAAAAAGCCACACTTTCTCCAGCTCTTGAAACAAATATTGAGTATCAATTGAAAATATTATCAGTTGCGATCAGCTATGGAGGTCCTGCACTTCTTCGCTACAAGGATGAGTTTAAGGAAGTGATTTTTTCTGCGTTTGATTCAACATCTTGGAAGGTGGTCATCCTGCTAGACTTTTCATGATTTTTAAGTGATATCAATTCAATCTATACAAATGTTTGTTCTTTCTGTTAAGCAAAAACAGGATACTTAACGTATTTAATAGCAGTGTGACCTGATGCTCTCTCTGGTCCTATTCGATTTGGCAATTATTTTCAAATGTTTTAACAAAGAGACATAAAGCATATATTCTGCTTCTCGGTGTAAAAATCATAATTTCCATTTAACTGAAGATATAGAGTATCTTATGGTCAACTTTAACTTTATATTTTGAACTTAAGAGACATGGGCCTTAACAACCTAGTAGGTTAATGTTGTTATCAAAACTAACATAATATTAGCATGTTGCTATATGCTTGCATTTTTAGGACCTTGAATAGTTTAAAATATTTCCAAGTCTTCTAGTTTTGGAGGTTATTTTGTAATGCAATCAAATCCATCATGTTTCCTTTTTCTTCATGGAGACTTTATATCTTGACAGGTAAATGGTGCTGGTGATCACGTTCTCAGATCTCTTCTTGGAAGCTTGATTCATTACTATCCTATTGACCAATACAAGTCTGTACACTTCGTGTTCCTATTTTACCACAATGAAACTACTTAGATTACACACATATGATATACGTGCACCATTCTAGATGCACAATTATAGATATGAATGAACTTCCTTGTTCTCAGGTGTCTTTTGCGTCATTCTGCTGCTGCATCATTAGAGGAATGGATTAGCACAAAAGATTTTTCAAATGCTGTACCACCTGTCGGTCCAAAGTGGCATATCCCTTGTGATGATGAAGTTGAATTTGCGAATGAACTCTTGAAGTTGCACTTTGACTGTGCTTTAGATGACCTTCAGAAGATATGCCAATCTAAGATCCACTGTGATCCAGGTGCTACTTGGATATTTCAACTCTAATGCTTTTAAACTTTAATTGCAATTCCTACCCTTTTTCAGAACATATAGAAGGTTGATGTTTAAGAATAACTACCAAAATATAGTGCACTATGTTCATTGGAATATTTGAGACGCTTAAGTTTTTGTTAAGCACACATGAAATTTTTTTTGGTTACTCTAATCGCATCAGAAAGTTAAAGAAATACTAGAACGCTGATCAGTGATCCTGTTAAAATTCTGTCTCTGCCATCTTGTCCTGTTGCAATGCATTGCCTGACTAGTGTATACACATTGATGGACAGGAAATGAGAAAGAGCATTTGAAAGTGACTCTTTTGCGTATTGATTCATCATTACAAGGCATTTTGTCATGCTTGCCCGATTTCAGACCGTCTGTTGGGAATGGGATGGTAGAAGATTCTGGTCTTTTTTCTTTCTTAATTGCTGGAGCAACAGGTTCACTTGTTGGCAGCACAGAATTGCGAGAAAAGGCTGCTGAGATTATCCATGCTGCTTGCAAGTGAGTATCTACATGTCTTTATTTATCTATCTTATCATCTATCTATCTTTCCATCCATCTTTTACCTATTGACTTTCAGCAAACCATAGGTTTACATTTTTAGCATTCTGTTGTACTTCTTGCAGATACCTGTTGGAGGAAAAATCTGATGATAGCATTCTCTTGCTGCTTGTCATTCGTATAATGGATGCTTTAGGAAATTATGGTAATCAATGGAGAGGAAGTTACTTACATATGGCAATAGATGAAAAGTTATCAGAATAAGAGTATATTCTATGTTTTTCATTGTTTGATCCAATTAACAGGAAGTTCTGAATATGAGGAGTGGTCGAGTCACCGGCAGGCTTGGAAACTGGAATCTGCTGCCATAATAGAACCTCCGATCAATTTCATTGTCTCATCTCATTCTAAAGGAAAAAGAAGGTCTACTCTCTTTTCTCCTTGAATTTCCACTGTAGTGCATGCAATGGTGCTGTTAACTTTTCCTTGTTACATCTTTAATTAATTACAGGCCTAGATGGGCTCTTATCGACAAAGCATATATGCACAGCACTTGGAGATCATCACAGTCATCATACCATCTGTTTCGGACGAGTGGCAACATATCTCCATCTGATCATGTGCTTATCTTGCTGGATGATCTTCTTAATCTGTGTTTACACAGCTATGAAACAGTCCGGACGTAAGTTCAGAGCCAGGAGATTGAAGTGCTTAAAAAATAAATATACTCTGATACCATAAAATTTGTCACATAAGCAGATATTTGTTATACAAGTTATTAAGTTGTACTTTCTTGCCATGGTTCTCTAGGGGTTCCTGTATTTTTAGTGTAAGTTGCAAATTTGAAAGCAATTGAGTTATAATTTGTTTCCAATTTTAAGACAGGCTTCCGTGCTTTTTGTGAGGTGGTTGTGCATTTGATGTATCATGAGTTTTATACATGCTGTGGGGTTTTCTGGTCTTAATATGGAAGTGAGGGAAGTTTTAAGATTGATTTTAGTTCGATGTTCATGATTCTGCTAACTATGTTATTCCATATGATCTTTGAAATGCTTCAGCCCTTTTATCCTATCAAAAGGAATTAATCTGCTGTGATCTATTAATCTACTGTTGCATAAGTCATGCCTAATGGATGGTGATGACTGAATAAATAATGCATTAAGAAAAGAGATCATTGCAAAAGTGAAATGACACTTTTCTTTATTATATTGCCTTCTGTAACTTAGCATTTGCATTCTCTCTCCCTCTCTCTCTTCCTCCCTCTGCTGCAGGATTTTTTTTTTAAAATTTCTGATTAATTTTTCTCTGGCATTTTCAGACTTGCTGGGAAATCTCTTCTGAAAATGCTGAAAAGATGGCCTTCTACAATCTCGAGCTGTGTGTATGCTCTGAGTGAAAATTTAAAGGCTCCGAGTTCACCAGAATATGCTGTCTTGGGCTCTTGTGCAGTCCTTTCAACCCAAACTGTTCTCAAGCGTTTGACATCGGTAATTATTAACATGAAAAACTTTAAGTTTCTGAAGTGATTTTTACTGAGAACTGTCATATTCTTTTTTGTATCCAGGATGCAAAGGCCCTCTGTTGTTTTCTTCGTGGAATTCTTTCAAGGTTACATTATTTTTTTATGTTAATTTCTATCAAGATTTTTATTTGGCTCCTCTGTAAGGTATTTTTAACACACTTCTTTGTTGGTCATAGCTCTCATCATGAATCACTAAAATCTCAGAAAGCAATTACTGAGGTGAGATATTCTATCAAATACTTGGAAGTCAAATTATCATTGAAACTTTTTATACTTGATTCTACACTTTATATTTTCTTGACAACCAATTCATTGATGACATCTACAGCTCTTTGTCAAGTACAACATCTATTTTGAAGGTATACCTAGAAGCATTTTAAGGACATCAGGGATTCATTCGGATGCAACTGATTTCTCAGATTTGGTTTCTGAGATTGGTTCCATGAGTTTTGAAAGTACAAATTTGCATTGGAGGTAAGTATCTACTGTCATGGTCAGAGTCCTTGGTTCTTCAGACGTCTGTCTTGATTTTTGCCCTGTGGTATTATGTGACCTGTTGGTTTTGTACTTAGAATCCTTATTAGCTTTGTTTGTACCCATGTTTCAGGTATAATCTGATGGCTAACAGAGTGCTGCTACTTTTGTCTATGGCATCTGCAAATGATCCACATTCATCTACAAATATTCTTAAGGAAACTTCTGGTATTAGTTTATCCTTTTCTCTGATCAATTGCAGTTGCATATTCTGTTACTAAAAGTTTGTGTGATTGTCCATATAGTTTTACTATTTGAGACTAAATCTTTTCAGGTCATTTCTTAAAGAATTTGAAGAGTCAACTTCCACAGACGAGAATTCTAGCTATCTCTGCCTTAAATACTCTGTTAAAAGAATCACCTTACAAAGTCTCTGCTGGAAACCCTGTTTTCATTGGGGATGTACAGGGAAACACCAAATCTTCGCTTGAAGGAGCTTTGAGTATTATATTTCAAGAAGAGGGGTTCTTCAATGAGACTCTGAGTAGTCTTTCTCATGTGCATATAATTGCTGATGCAGATAGTGCATCCTCCCGAGGACATCACGGAAATTCTTCCTTCCAGAGCTTGGCAGACAAATCAATCACACACTTCTATTTTGACTTCTCTGCTTCATGGCCTCGTACTCCTAACTGGATATCTTTGCTAGGAAGTGATACTTTTTATTCAAATTTTGCTAGAATCTTCAAACGTCTAACCCAAGAATGTGGCATGCCTGTTTTGCTGGCACTTAGAGATGCATTGATAGAGTTTGTTAATTCCCAGGAGAGGTCTAAGCAATGTGTTGCAGCTGAGGCATTTGCTGGAGTCTTGCATTCTGATGTTGCTGGTGTTTCAGAAGCATGGGACAGCTGGATGATGACCCAATTACAAAATGTTATTTATTCCCAATCGGTGGAATCTGTTCCAGAGTGGGCTGCTTGTATTCGTTATGCAGTTACTGGCAAGGGAAAATATGGTACTAGGGTACCTCTTCTGAGACAAAGAGTCATGGATTGTCTAATGACTCCATTGAGCCAGACAGTTACTTCTTCAGTAGTTGCCAAGCGCTACACTTTTCTTTCAGCTGCATTTATAGAAATATCCCCACAAAGGATGCTAAGAGGTGAAACAGAGCTTCATTTTACGCTATTGAAGGAGTTGGTGCGTAATATGAGTCATTCATCAGCTCAAGTAAGGATACTACTTTAACTAATAACTGTATGGACAAATCTTGTTTGATCACAACCCCTTCCCTCGTGTCAATTGTGTCTTATTGTTTTGCTGCATCATGTGCCACCTCATAGAGCTTTCTTGAAATGTATCTAGAATGTGAGCCACAAATAATTTATGCTATTCTGTCGAGCACATGGTTTTTTGGTTTGCCTCCCCACTCCCCCCTCCCCCCCCAACCAAAAAAAAAAAAGAAACACAATCTTTTTCTCCTGATGTGTATAGTTTCTTCAATCTCTCCTCTTAAGGAATTATGTCTTGCGCACTTATCCCCTTTTTAGTTAACAGTTGTACCCTCGGCCGCTTTGGAAATCACAAAACCTGTCTGAGCATTTATCGATATTAAAGAACCCATCCACAATTGGATGTTTTGTAAAATTTGTTGGATGTGGCAATAATTGACTCTAATGAAATACACAAGTCTAATTGTTTCACATAAATGTCTCCTGACAGGTGAGAGAATCAATTGGAGTTACCCTATGTGTGTTATGCTCAAATATTCGGCTTCATGAATCCTGTTCTCCTAGTAACTCTCTTGAAGGGGTAAGGGGTGATGTATATGGAAATTTTGAAGGTGGAAGTTGGGATGAATATATTGTGCAACGAGCTTCAGAACTTGCAGTGAATATCCACAACATTAGTGCTTGTGACATATTGGAAACCTCCTCAGACAAAACCTTACACAATGGAATATCAAAAGACCATTCTAGAGATGATGTTAATTGGATGGAAACGGTAGTCACTTGTGAAAATACCACATGATTAAATTTCTTCACACTTTGATTTTGATTATTCACTCTCTCTTCTGTTTTGGACAGGTATTCCATTTCGTCATCTCTTCTCTGAAGTCTGGAAGATCTTCAGTTTTGCTGGATGTTATTGCGGGCCTACTGCACCCCATCATCTCCTTGCAGGTGTGATAAATTTTCTGCTGTCTCTCCATTGATATATTTGCACTTCTTTTTCTCCCATATTCTGGAATGATTTTTTATTAGCCATTATATGTAGCCACCCTTTTAAAAGATAGTGACACTAATGAAAGCAGTAAAAGCTTTAATGAGTGCTCATGTATGGCATGGCAGAGAAATGAGCAGAGAGAGTGGTAGGTTAGCATGATTTCAAAAAGGAAAAAAAAAATCAAATATCAGTCAGCTGGTATCATAAACACAATTTTCAACCATGTTTTTATTTCACATACATCACATCATTAAGAGTGCTATAGTGTTTTTCCAAATAATCTCCTATCCAAACACACTCCGTCTTTTTCATAGAATGCCACTGATTTCATGAAACATATTGGATAAGATGTCAACTTTCACATCCTATTATACTGTCTGGTGTCCTATCTAATGGAAAGAGAATGATCTATGTACACACAGCATAGTAAGGTAAACGATTTCAATCATATGAAGTGAGATGTTAATCAGTTCACTTTATGTTTGTGTATCATAGTCAGAATGTTGATATTTTTGTTGAATTTTGGTTTACATCCATATACTTATATGCTTAAGAAAAATTATTGTTGCTTAACTTGTCTCTTTGAGTTGGACACAAGTTTATTGGAATAGTTGCTCTTTGAGTTATTTGAATATAACTAGGGCTTTAATTGGTGACTGAATGGCTAATCAGCTGTCTGGGATCAATAATGCAACATCTGTAAAATAAGCTGGAAATCGTATTTGCCTGATAAATCAAGCAAAGATCTTGTAACAGTTTGATGTGGGGGGCAGACACAAAAAATAGAAAAGACATCGTTTAACTTTGCCAGAGAAATTCAACTATCTGAAATAATGGTGTTGGTGCTCGGGGTGCTGGTTGCTTTTTATAATGTTGTGTTGCTCCTTTTATGAAGGAAACATCAAATAAAGATTTGTCAACTCTAGCCAAAGCAGCTTTTGAATTGCTAAAATGGAGGGTTTTCCATGGAACAAGAACCCAGAAAGCCATCTCTCTTATTCTTTCTTTAGGAAGTGACTCCAACTGGCGAACTAGATCTGCAACTTTGACGTTTTTGAGGACTTTTATGTACAGGTATGGTTTGCTTTTTTGAGTCATTGTGTTGTTAGAATGCAGCTTTTACTGTGTATAGTTGTCTTTGTACTTTGATGAACATATCTAATGAATAGATGCAACCAAATCAAGTGAAGTGAATGGCCTGGATGTCCATCAGGAACCCATACTCAATATACTGAACTTAAGCTTGGTTTGGCTCAACTGAGTTCTCTAAAGAGCTACCTTATTTGTATTAAGGACATTACCACCCCTAGTGATATTGCTCTATCATTTACAGAGTTAAACATGTTAAGCAAGTAAATATGATTTCTTTTTATTCTATACATTCTTAAAACAATGGCTGCTTGGACTGGCTTGCCTGCACAATTAACTATCTTGTAGCTGGACTTGGCTCAAACTACTATTTGAGCTGTTTGAGATCAAACTTCACAGATGGCACAATTGAGGCTGAGCTACTTGCAGCTTAGATTATTTGGGGCCCTAGTCAGGTGCCATGCTATGTGAGAACATTCCTTCTAGGAAAAGCTAAATGTCCACAATTTAATTATAAGAACATTTCTATCCTTGCTTCAAATTATCCATTTGAAAAGCTATGTTATGGTAAACCTCATTTTTGCGATAAACTTTGGTATCTTATCCTGATTTTTGAGTCATCTTTGCTGCTGAGATTAAATCATATGCTCACGTTGTACTAATAGTTTGTGTGCTCTAACAGGCACACTTTCATCCTCTCAAATGTGGATGAGAGGCAAATATGGCATACTGTTGAAAAGCTACTTGCAGACAATCAAATTGAGGTGAATATCAGCTTGCTTAGCATATATTATGAATGTCCATAAAAATTTGGGAATTACTTAACATGTTTCTGCATTTTGTTCCTTTTTCAGCTTTTTTTCCCTTTGTCGTGTGAATTGAAAGTCATAGGATCTATGTAATGACAAAGTTGCCTTAAAAAAATGTAATGACAAAGTCAAATTGTAGGAAATTTTATCTTTTAGGCCTTTCTTCTTTTTGAAACTCAAACTGCATGATATCTCCAGAGAATGTCAAACTGTGAGGTTGGATGAGTGTCTTGGGAAATAAAAAGTAATCAGAATGGTTAACCGCATAAGTTTTAAACACCATTCTTTTGGTGCTCTGTTTTGGAATGAAAAAACTTAGTGGTTTAACATCCCTAGGAACATAACCCGGAGAATTGCACTGAATCCTAGATACCCAACTAAAACTAGGCATTATCGTGTGTTGCTCAGTTCTGGAATTTACAATAAATGATTCAGGTAAGGGAGCATGCAGCTGCAGTATTAGCTGGCCTCATGAAGGGTGGAGATGCTGATCTAGCTGAAGACTTCCGTAACAGAGCTTTTAGGGAAGCAAACGTCATCCTGAAGAAAAGAAGGCAAAGGTTAAATTTTTGGTTGATTTTCTACTTAACCTGTTGATTAAAGCCAAATTTCAAATTATATGCTTAGATGCTATCCACAATTCGGTTTGGCTTCATAATGCACAGAATATACATGATATATGCATTAACTGTATTAGTTGGTACATGCCTTGATATTTAGTCTCATGTACATGGCTCTCTTGTTTGAGCTTTTGTTTATGGCTAAATGAAATTGATGCAATCCATATTCTTTTTTGTCATATAGCCACTGTGAAAGCCGGTTCCTTGTGCATGTCTTATTAGTTTTATCTGATTACAACTTGTTAAAAATGGCTTATTTACTATTCCATTGAAGTTTCAACTTTTCTTTTTGTAATTTCAGAAATTTGAGATCCGGGCTTTCTGTAGCATCAATTCATGGTCCCGTACTTGCTTTAGCAGCTTGCGTATTATCCATTCCGTACGATATGCCCAGGTTTGTGCCAGACTCCATTATGTTTATAGGCATTGGCATCAGTGGACATGGCATTTGCTGGGATAGTGTAATGTGCAAAAGTTAATCATGAGTCTTGGTTAATTTATATCAATAATCATGTGAGCTTTTTAGTATGGTCACCATTTACGCCATTTACTGTTAGAAGGGCAAGAAATATATTCATTCTAGAAAGTGTAAAGGCCAATCTAGACGGTTTAAAGACCTAGTAATGCAGCGGATTTTTTATCATGTGGAATTTATAATTGCCTTGTTGGGTGACAGTGTGGCATGAACTGATGTGACGTTTCTTTCCTGAACTTTAACTGTAGCAATTACGTATTGAGCATTTAAACTAGTTTCATTTTGTTGATTTCCATCTTTTCATGTTACTTGTCCTACTCTCATCAGTTTTTCTTAGTAAAGAACTTAATGTTTTTAAGCACATGGTATCTATCATGAATTGAGCCAAGCTTGAGTTCAAAGGGGTCTGTGATGGGATATCTGTATATATTATCTTGTTGTAGAAGTGACTGTTGAGCTCATGAAAGGTATTATTGCATTAAACTGAAAATCGTCTGACAAGGTATGGTCTTCTAATGATATTTCACACCTTTTCATCAGTGTGTGCTGAAGACATTTGAGAAAAGCATGGATTTAAATAAATTCCATCCTCGACTGTTAGTATAAATGGAAAATTTTATTTATATGCTACATAAGGGCATTATATCTAGCAAAGAATGTCAACTTCGAACTGAAGCTGCGCAAAAGAGAGAGGAGACAAAAATTATTTCTGAGTCCAGTTGCAGCATTTGAAAAAGAGTATTCTCAAGGGCTGAAGTCTCAATTTCAGCATATTTAGTTTTAGGCACCCTAAGCAGCACGTTTTATATTATCAGTGATCCACTCAGTGACAAGTACAATATATTGTTTCAGCTGGCTGCCTGAGCATGTTACATTACTTGCTCATTTTGTTTCGGAGCCATCACCTGTTAAATCCACGGTCACAAAAGCAGTTGCAGAATTCCGACGGACGCATGCTGACACCTGGAATATCCAAAAAGATGCTTTTAGTGAAGACCAGCTGGAGGTATATTCATCTCAGTAATATTTGCTCGTACAAATTTGCTCTTTTTAGTACCTTAATAATTTTTTTGCACGTATCAACTCTAATGCTTTGTTTGTATATGCAGGTTCTTGCAGATACATCCTCCTCATCATCATATTTCGCTTAATATAATTCTTCCTGCCAGAGAGATAGCGGAGACATGTACAGGGAAAATTATTGGAACATAGGGCAGTGTTCTCTACTGCCTCGACAAATTTATTATGAATTTATTTACATATCTTTGTCAGTTCGAGAACATTATTATTTTTACATGAATAAGATGTTCTTGCCCGTTGGTGGTCATTCTGTGCTCTTCCTTAGACCATTGGACTCATTAGTTCTTCAGATGGTAAATCCCACAAAACGCAGTCTGAATTGAAAAGGGTGGCCCCATCTCTCATTTCTTTTCCACCCTTCCAGTCTTGACCATTTTCATCTTCGAGTTTCTCATCCAGCTGGCATTGTCGGTCTCCTGTTGCACTGCTTCCAGGGCACATGCTCTGGTTCCATGCAGATCCATTTCCTTCATTGACAAGGGATGAAAGGCCATAATGAAACCCGGAATCTGGGGCAGCAAATGCATTGCAGCTTCCAGCAAAATTTGCGGGTCCTGCTACAACAGGGTCCCAAGGCTTGTTTGTAGGTGAAGTTTCAGGGTCCTTTATGGCTCTTGATATTCCGTACTTAATCTTCTCAATGGTTTCGTCCCTATCCTCATGCTTAACTTGTGTAGCTGCTGTGTTAACTGGTGTTAAACCTATTTGCTGCATTTGGTAGCTGCCAATACGTTTCTTGGTGAGGAGGTGGAGCATCTCATCCTTGAAACACCCTAAGGCTGCTTCTGCCAAGTGGGGAACTTGCGGTGGAGCCAGAGTGGTGGCAATCTCAGTAATGAGGTGAGAGAAAGGCTTGTGAGTGACGGGATCGATACCCATGCCTGATAGCTTCTTTTTGAGCTTGGTATTCCAATGGTTTTTGACATCGTTATCGGTGCGACCAGGCAGCTGAGCTGCAATCACAGACCATCTGTTGTACCAAAATGATAAAAGCTAATCTTTTAGAGAAAAATCGTACTTCAAAACAAAGTAGAAATTCTAGGTTGTTTTGTTACATAATTATAGATATATGAAATGAGATACCTATTCCCCAGAACTGAATGCAGAGTGACGATGGTCTGCTCTTCTGCATCCGAGAATTGGCCGTGCTTAAGGTCAGGACGGAGGTAGTTGGTCCACCGTAATCTGCAGCTCTTTCCACATCTCTGTAAACCTGACAAAGAGTGGCAATGCGTTACCGCCATGAAAGTCACACACTGCCCGCATTACTCTCATTTAAACTTGTAGTAATATTCTACTCTTTGTAGCTGATATAGCATTAAAGGATTCAGCACAAACCAGCATGTTTGGGTATAAGACGCCAGTTGCGGGTGCCATGTTGAGCAATGTAGGAAGAGAGCTTGTGGTCTTCCTCCGGGGTCCACTGACCCCTTTTGACGTTGTCTTTCTCGCAGCATGGAATTCGTCCCATCTCAGAAAGCTCCACTCTGTTAGTTACCAGTCGTAGCAGACCGGAGAAAAAGCTTCCGGGGCAGTTGCTGTAGTGCAAGTGAGAGAGATGGGGAGATGGATTGGAAGGATAGGCTAGTTGTTGCAACAATTTTCTTCAACCTAACCTTAAATAACAAATCCGAAAACGTGAAAAAACAAAAGGGGTAGTCTTGCTCGTTGGAGTTTATTAATCTGGGATGTATTTTACTGGTATAGCACGGAGTGTAAATAAATAGAACATGGTTTTATAGCATAGGAATGAAAGGGATGACATCAAATGCGCATGATTTCATTAAAGAATTCAACGCTGCTGAGCGTGTGAGACATTGGCCGGTAGCTCACCCTCAAGACGCCCGGTCAACTCCCCCCCCCCCCTCTCTCTCTCTCTCTTCTTCCTCGTTCTGCTGAGGTTTGACCCCTGGAGTTGGGTGGGCTTTCTGATTTGGTCATGCAAAATCACTAGAATCTGGACTTCGGCTTTGATTTAAGGTTCTCAGCACGAGTGGGTTTGTCTTCTTCTTCCACAATTTTCGCAAAACAATCTTCGTTTTGAAGGATTTAAACAAATCATAATTCGTTGGCATTGCAAAGCTTTCCTGATGCCAAGACTGGCTGGCGGGTGTTTATTCTCCTCTTCATTCTTGGTGGTGCTATCGCATTGCTGTTCGTTGGTTCCGTACAAGTAGCTACGGCTAAACTGAACTGCGTTGGCTCGCTTACCGCCAAAACAAGCCACTAGCAAACTCTTCTCTCTTCTTCGAACTTGCCCTCTTTGAACAGTTTCTGGGCATCATGGAAATTCTTTTGTCACGCGGCTGAACCATCGAACTACAGGCGAATGAGCAAAATAACAGGAATGAAAAGAATTTTATATGCTGGAGAGCAAATAATTTTATAACTCAAACATCACAACTCTCTCAATAACAAAAGTTGGACAGGAGATTATTTGCCCAAATATATTTATTTACATCACCATTATAATTTTCAGTACACATTTTTATCTTCTCAATTATCTTTTTATCTCACATACATCACATCACAAAAAATAATACAGTAAAAATATCTCAAATAATTTACAATCCAAACACGACTTTGAGACAAATTCAAATCTAGGTATCAAATAACAAATCAACTTCTAAAACTATTAAAATTCTAATTAGCTTGGCTTAATTTTTTTTTTTTTTTGGTCAACAATATTACTACCTCAACCTTGCACTTATAAGGGCTTTGACAGAGCCAATAAACGCAAACACTATCACCACAAGGCACATAATACTATAGGTTCGAAGAATAACAGCTTTGGGTGTCCATGATTCTATATTTTTTTGCATTATGTACATCTCAACCGGGAAATACACGACAATGGGCCAAAAGTTAATGGCTCCAGCCACTCCCACAACTTCGTTAAAGTAAGGGAAGATCGCTGCAATTGCTGTAATGCATATGACGTATGTCGTACGGAAACAGATCCTGAGGACATTCAGTCGCAGTGCTGGCATTGCAGGGAGTTTGAAGCTATAGTTATCATGCACAATTCCACTCCCGGGAAATTGCCTGGCTAATCTTCTTTCAACAGTACCGAATAGTGACTGACTGAATATCTGAAGAAGCAAAAGCTCTTGAGCAGTTGTAGTATTAAGAATTTATCATGACTAAGAGCAAACAGACAAACAACAAAAAAGGGGAAGGCACATCTCATTTGCAGCAACTTGCTGAATGTTTTTTTTATTAAGAAGTTTTATGAGTTAATTTTATCACGTACTGAGGTGACATTCATACTAGTGAAAAAGCGAATGAAGCATGTGAAGCATACTCTTAATATGAATTGATATTCAACGTGAAGTGACTCCAAACATATACCAGTTGTACAAGAAATCCTAGAGTGGCAAACAGAATTGTTAACAGAGAGTGGTGCTGGTACCTGATATCCTCCAACGAGATGAAGAACAATGCAAGCATTAGCGAAATCTATAAGCCAATACGGCTCATAGAAACCAAATCCTGTCAAAAGATTTCCTGGAGTAGAATTCCCAAAAGCTGCATACCCAAACCCTCCACAGCAAAGGTAAAAAAAGGTTGTAATGCAGACCGCACTAATAGATGCCTTTTTCATTGTGGCCTTCTCTGATGGAGGTGATTTTAAAGTGTCCTGAAAGAAGTTTCATATATGTACCCGTATTACCATAATAATTCTTTCAAGCAAATTATCTCCACATGGTAGTTAAGTGTCTGCACCTGTATCTCCAGAAAATAAAGAGAGAAGGGAAAGGCAAAAGCAATGTCCCCAAGTGCTTGAGAAACCAACCATATTTTTTCAGCAGCAGTAGAAGTAGGAACGCCTCCTATGCTGCCTTTTACTTCTCCATTCTCTGCAATTCTAAGTTAAGAAAGTCAATTTTCTTTGGGGGCTTCATCTCCTGTAGCCGTTCGGTTAAGATGCTAGAAAGAAACTTTATAATTTATTATTTCCTCGTTTCCTCAGACAATAATATTATGGCGATGAAAGAAGTAGCACGTTCAGGATGTACCTATTATTTTGGCTAAGCCAAGTCCAGAACCAATCAAAGAGTATGTGAAGGACATGATGGCTGCAACAGCAGAAAGCCACTTCATATTTCGGAATTCAGGTATCTGTGATACTAAAATTTGGATCACCCCAAATAAAAGCATGTAAGTAGAAGTCTTGTAATCACAGGAAGCTTCATGTCCTTGGTTATGGTAACAGTTTGATTTCAGAATTGCCCTGCATCAATTGAAAGAATGCTCATATGACAGTCATCAGTCTTTACTAGACTAAAAGCTCTTGTCTGGGCATGACCGAAGAACAATTTAGAGATCATCCAAATGCTCCTGTACTGCACTGCTTAGGTGCTTTATGGTTTAGCGTAACAAATTGTCCTATTGATCATGATAGGCCAGGACAATTGTCAAGTAAAACTCATGGTGTGTGACGATTCTAATTATAAAGACACTGAAAATCTGCTGTGCATTCTCTATTAAAGTGGTTCTAACAAATCAAAAAAAAAAAAAGTGAGAATCATCAAGCCAGATGGATTTTCTATTTAAAGGAATTATTGATGGATGTGATGAAATACCTGATGCTTATAGCAGCTGTTATTGTATAGACAATTCCAACCTTGATGAAATTTATAACAACTACTACTCCACAAATCCTTCCATTCATTTTCCCTGAGATACAAGTGGAGCATGCACTTTTATTACTACTAACTTCACTTTATTTTCAAGTTAAAAAAAAAACAACAACAACAACAACAAGAGTCAGTTCGTCATGAGACTATGTCGAACCTCATCATGCAAGAAGTCGAAGAATCCTGTTTAATGCAGGAAAGAACGAAACCAATCGCAGAAGAATCCAAAATTTACTATAATCATAAAAACGTGAAAATTGGCAAAAAATTAGAAGTACACAGCAGACGGTAGTGTTTTTGGGCTCCATGACAACCCAGTGGACTTCTTACCTAAAATCCTTTGAACAGCGTCAAGGAAGGAGGCATTTCTGTTTGGACCAATCTCAGGATCAGGAGATTTATAGCAATTTCGGAGAAGAGATGCCGAAATGAAGGTGACCGATGCAAAACAGAGCATCGTCAGAGGACCTGCGATCCACCCTAGTCTCGACATGCTCCATGCTAGTGACAGTACCCCTGACCCTATTACTCCTGTTATTATATGCGCCAAAGCAGTCCATACATTTCCTGAATTGTTGGAGTTGTTAACACACATTTGTCAGCTGGGCATAGGAATAGCCCGGATGAACAAAATTCGGGGATTTTTAAAATAAAAAAAAACATATATTACATATTTATCTTTCAGGAAAATTATATGAAGATGAAGATGAGAATGACCTTGACTTGGGCAAAGTAAGTCAACAAAGAAGGGCGACAATAGGATTTCCACTAAAAAGATTCCTTTTTCTTTTTTTTTTTGGGTTCCACAAGTATATCATGCCAATTATATGTGGATGAAAGGTAAAGTGCTTAAAAACAGGATGGGCCTGAAAACCACTGCATCGTGATCTAAAGATGGAAATGCTATGGATGGTCCAGATTTTGGTGATGCCACAAATTGTCACTAGCAAAATAAATGAAATGGAAGGATGCCACTGTTTTGTTGTCCCAGAAGATCCTTATTACCTGATCATCATTAAAAATAAGGCTTCGATTACATGAAAAGGGAAGAGAAGAGAAAAGACGGAGATAAGAAAGAGATGGGGTTACCGTTTTTCATTGCGGGAACGAGAGGGGTCCCTTTCGATTCAGTACAGGATTCTGCTGATGCCGAAGAGAAGTTTGAGTCTAAGAGGGAAGCTTTTATGCCACCATCTTCTCCTCCTCCCATAATTCTGTAATTGAGGCCTGTAAATGCAAAGATTCTACCGAATATCAGATCCTCGATGAATATATTTCTCCTTATTGTTGGACAATTAATAAGGTGCTGCTTATTCTACTCCCATCATACTACCAAATCCTCTGTATCTGTGATGCTCCATTATTGGAGTTGAGTTTATTTAGAAAAATGCTCCACAAATTGAATAATCAAACAAAGTAGCAACTAACACAACAAGGGTTGGTGGTCCTTTATTTAGTGCTTGTCCCACCTCAGACAGCGTAGAGATGGAATCCGCAGCCATCCATCCGGTGAGATCTGACCTCACTCCACCACATTGATATGGTTAGTTCCTAATAAGTAACATATATTGGCTCTTTTTTAATAAACTGTTTTTGGAGTGTTTTTCAAAAATTTTACTGTAATTATGTATATGAAAAAATTTTATTATAGATATTTTTTAGATTTTTTTAGAAATATTTTTAAAATATATTTAGGGGCATTTTTATAATTTATAACTTTTTTGAGTTTTTTTTAAATGTTACACCACCACCTGCTTCCTACTCCTTCTCCTCCCTCTTTTCTCTCCCTTCTCTCCCCTTCCCTCCTTTTCCCCAACCCCCAAAACCCTTTCCCACTCGCGGGTGGTAGCTACAACTCTAGCCACCACTCTAGTCGCGGCTTTCTTGGTAGCTACCAGAAGATCGTGACTAAGAAAGTCGCGACTAGAAGCCCATGAGTCGCGGCTTGTGACCATGAAGATCACGATCAGGAAAGTTGCGGTCAATGGAGGGAATGAGGAATTGGGAGGCAGGGAAAGGGAAGAGAGAAGGGAGAAGGAGAGAGAAAGAGAGAGACAATAGAGATGAGGAAGGGTCGTGGGTGTGGGGGTGGTGGTGGTGGTGGTGATGGTGTATTGTTTTTAATATATATTTAGAATTATTTTTGATATATTATATGGATATGGTGTTTTTGAAATTGTTTTTATTTGTGTATTATTGTAACATTAAATCGATTTGTTTGGATAGTAAACTTATTCCAAATAATATTTCGCTTGCATCATAAATGCATTTTTCAACCCACATTTTTATATTCTCAACCCACATTTTTATCTCACATACATTATATCACAAAAAGTGCTACAGTAATTATTCCAAATAATATTACAAATAATACTCTATCCAAACAAATATTATATATGAAAAACTTGGATTGCGTTTGGAAGACAAGTTTTTTGCCAAGTTTGTCTGTTTCAAGTTTTTTAAAAACTTTAACTACAGTAATCTCAAAAAACTTTTCAAAGTTTTTAAACTATACATTTCAAAATATTAAAAAAAAAAACACACTTCAAAAATTTTTTTAAAAACTTTTACAGTAAGTTACAGTAAAATTTTAAAAAAACCCACTTGTCAAACGGGGTGTTTTTCAAAAGTTGAGAGAAGTCCAAACAGAGCCAGCTTGCCCACCAATCACACTGTAATTTTTTCCTCCTCCTTCTTTTGGCCTTTTTGGCAGTTCTAGCTCCTCTTTTGA